TACTTGCATTCATAATGCAAATCTTTTCAAGACCAGGGGCAGTACAAAAGGAACAACAAGCTTAAAACTGTTTATTTGCTGTTGGTTCTCCGAATATCACTGTGAATGTCTGTTCCCTATGTTAATTTTCAAGGGAAGACTTAAATTTCTAAAAAAAAAAAAAAATAGAAAATCATTAAAAATTTTTAAATATGTTGTGAAATGTCAAGGCTTTCTGTTTCAAGTGAAATACACTAATATTCTGATAAATTTCTGCCTTAAAGTGCAGAAGCAGTCAGCGAGTAAAAAAAAAAGTTCCGTCAAATAAAATAAGTTCTTGTATACAATTCTTGGTTTACATTAGGGAGGATATAGTGTTGGAGTGGTTGGTACTTTTGTTTAATAAATGTATGAAAGAGGGGAAGGTACCTAGGGATTGGCAGAGAGCATGTATAGTCCCTTTATATAAAGGGAAAGGGGACAAAAGAGATTGTAAAAATTATAGAGGAATAAGTTTATTGAGTATACCAGGAAAAGTGTATGGTAGGGTTATAATTGAAAGAATTAGAGGTAAGACAGAATGCAGGATTGCGGATGAGCAAGGAGGTTTCAGAGTGGGTAGGGGATGTGTAGATCAAGTGTTTACATTGAAGCATATATGTGAACAGTATTTAGATAAAGGTAGGGAAGTTTTTATTGCATTTATGGATTTAGAAAAGGCATATGATAGAGTGGATATGGGAGCAATGTGGCAGATGTTGCAAGTATATGGAATAAGTGGTAAGTTACTAAATGCTGTAAAGAGTTTTTATGAGGATAGTGAGGCTCAGGTTAGGGTGTGTAGAAGAGAGGGAGACTACTTCCCGGTAAAAGTAGGTCTTAGACAGGGATGTGTAATGTCACCATGGTTGTTGAATATATTTATAGATGGGGTTGTAAAAGAAGTAAATGCTAGGGTGTTCGGGAGAAGGGTGGGATTAAATTATGGGGAATCAAATTCAAAATGGGAATTAACACAGTTACTTTTTGCTGATGATACTGTGCTTATGGGAGATTCTAAAGAAAAATTGCAAAGGTTAGTGGATGAGTTTGGGAATGTGTGTAAAGGTAGAAAGTTGAAAGTGAACATAGAAAAGAGGAAGGTGATGAGGGTATCAAATGATTTAGATAAAGAAAAATTGGATATCAAATTGGGGAGGAGGAGTATGGAAGAAGTAAATGTTTTCAGATACTTGGGAGTTGACGTGTCGGCGGATGGATTTATGAAGGATGAGGTTAATCATAGAATTGATGAGGGAAAAAAGGTGAGTGGTGCATTGAGGTATATGTGGAGTCAAAAAACGATACCTATGGAGGCAAAGAAGGGAATGTATGAAAGTATAGTAGTACCAACACTCTCATATGGGTGTGAAGCTTGGGTGGTAAATGCAGCAGCGAGGAGACGGCTGGAGGCAGTGGAGATGTCCTGTCTAAGGGCAATGTGTGGTGTAAATATTATGCAGAAAATTCAGAGTGTGGAAATTAGGAAAAGGTGTGGAGTTAATAAAAGTATTAGTCAGAGGGCAGAAGAGGGGTTGTTGAGGTGGTTTGGTCATTTAGAGAGAATGGATCAAAGTAGAATGACATGGAAAGCATATAAATCTATAGGGGAAGGAAGGCGAGGTAGGGGTCGTCCTCGAAAGGGTTGAGAGAGGGGGTAAAGGAGGTTTTGTGGGCAAGGGGCTTGGACTTCCAGCAAGCGTGCGTGAGCGTGTTAGATAGGAGTGAATGGAGACGAATGGTACTTGGGACCTGACGATCTGTTTGGAGTGTGAGCAGGGTAATATTTAGTGAAGGGATTTCAGGGAAACCGGTTATTTTCATATAGTCGGACTTGAGTCCTGGAAATGGGAAGTACAATGCCTGCACTTTAAAGGAGGGGTTTGGGATATTGGCAGTTTGGAGGGATATGTTGTGTATCTTTATATGTGTATGCTTCTAGACTGTTGTATTCTGAGCACCTCTGCAAAAACAGTGATAATGTGCGAGTGTGGTGAAAGTGTTGAATGATGATGAAAGTATTTTCTTTTTGGGGATTTTCTTTCTTTTTTGGGTCACCCTGCCTCAGTGGGAGACGGCCGACTTGTTGAAAAAAAAAAAAAAAAAAAAAATGTTATGCATCGTGTTTATTATACAATTTTGAAAAAATATCATAGATGGAATAATGAAAATGTGTATATTAACGTAATATACGACATTTAAATGAGACTCGATGATTATTATTATCATTACTAATATGACGTCTGGAGACATAAGAGACTCTTACTGATTTTAATGTGTACCTGCACGCCAGCACAGTATGTAAGTTTATTTAGATACAGGTATACATAAGTACAGTGGACCCCCGCATACCGTTGGCATCACATAATGTTAAATCCGCATACCGATACAATTTATTGCTAAGATTTTGCCTCGCATACCGCTAAAAAACCCGCTCAATGCTATTCGTCCGAGACGTGTCTAATGTGCGGCCTGAGCCAGCCTCACATGTTCCGCCGGTGGCATTGTTTACCAGCCAGCCTCCGCGGTAACATCCAAGCATACAATCGGAACATTTCGTATTATTATAGTGTTTTTGGTGATTTTATCTGCAAAATAAGTGACCATGGGCCCCAAGAAAGCTTCTAGTGCCAATCCTACAGGAATAAGGGTGAGAATTACTATAGAGATGAAGAAAGAGATCATTGCTAAGTATGAAAGTGGAGTGCATGTCTCCGAGCTGGCCAGGTTGTATAGTAAACCCCAATCAACCATCGCTACTATTGTGTCTAACAAAACGGCAATCAAGGAAGCTGTTTTTGCCAAAGGTTCAACTGTGTTTTCGAAACAGAGATCGCAAGTGATGGAAGATGTTGAGAGACTCTTATTGGTGTGGATAAATGAAAAACAGATAGCAGGAGATAGCATCTCTCAAGTGATCATAAGTGAAAAGGCTAGGAAGTTGCATGAGGATTTAATTAAAAAAATGCCTGCAACTAGTGATGATGTGAGTGAATTTAAGGCCAGCAAAGGTTGGTTTGAGAGATTTAAGAAGCGTAGTGGCATACATAGTGTGACAAGGCATGGTGAGGCTGCCAGTTCGGACCACAAAGCAGCTGAAAAATATGTGCAGGAATTCAAGGAGTACATAGACAGTGAAGGACTGAAACCTGAACAAGTGTTTAATTGTGATGAAACAGGCCTGTTTTGGAAGAAAATGCCAAGCAGGACCTACATTACTCAGGAGGAAAAGGCACTCCCAGGACATAAGCCTATGAAAGACAGGCTTACTCTGTTGATGTGTTCCAATGCTAGTGGTGATTGCAAAGTGAAGCCTTTATTAATGTATCACTCAGAAACTCCCAGAGCATTCAGGCAAAAGAATATCCTCAAGGCTAATTTGTGTGTGCTGTGGAGGGCAAACAGTATGGCATGGGCCACTAGGGACTTTTTCTATGATTGGTTACACCAAGCATTTGCCCCCAATGTGAAAGATTACCTAACTGAAAAGAAATTAGACCTTAAGTGCCTCCTGGTGTTAGACAATGCCCCTGGTCATCCTACAGACATGGCAGAGCAATTTTATGGGGACATGAGCTTCATTAAGGTGAAGTTTTTGCCTCCTAATACCACTCCTCTCCTGCAGCCCATGGACCAGCAGGTTATTGCAAACTTCAAAAAACTGTACACAAAAGCTCTGTTTGAAAGGTGCTTTGTAGTGACCTCAGAAACTCAATTGACTCTAAGAGAGTTTTGGAGAGATCACTTTAATATCCTCAATTGTGTAAACCTTATAGGTAAGGCTTGGAAGGGAGTGACTAAGAGGACCTTGAACTCTGCTTGGAAGAAACTGTGGCCAGAATGTGTAGACCAAAGGGATTTTGAAGGGTTTGAGGCTAACCCTGGGAATCCTATGCCAGTTGAGGAATCCATTGTGGCATTGGGAAAGTCCTTGGGGTTGGAGGTTAGTGGGGATGATGTGGAAGAGTTGGTGGAGGAGGACAATGAAGAACTAACCACTGATGAGCTGCTAGATCAACTTCAACAGCAAGAGGTCAGACCTGAGGAATCTGCTTTGGAGGAGGGGAGAAAGAAATTGAAAAAGTTGCCTACTTCAAAGATTAAGGAAATGTGTGGAATGTGGCTTAAAGTGCAAACTTTTTTGATGACAATCACCCTAACACAGCTATTGCAAGCCATGCTGGTGACTATTACACTGACACTGTTGTGAAACACTTTAGGAAAGTCATAAAGGAACGAGAGGTACAGGCCACTATGGACAGATATGTTGTGCGACAGAAGTCCAGTGACTCTGAAGCTGGTCCTAGTGGCATTAAAAGAAGAAGGGAAGTAACCCCAGAAAAAGACTTGACACCTCAAGTCTTAATGGAAGGGGATTTCCCTTCTAAACACTAAGACTCTCTCCTCCTCCCATCCCATCAATCATCACCAGATCTTCAATAAAGGTAAGTGTCATGTAACTGTGCATGCCTTTTTCATTTTGTGTGTATTAAAATTAATATTTCATGTGGTAAAATTTTTTTTTTCATACTTTGGGGTGTCTTGCATGGATTAATTTGATTTCCATTATTTCTTATGGGGAAAATTCATTCGCATAACGATAATTTCACATAGCAATGAGCTCTCAGGAACGGATTAATATCGTTATGCGGGGGTCCACTGTATAATTATCAGAGTATGTATATATAAAATATGAAATAACTTTTAAAAACACTTGAAATTTTGGAGTTTCCAGACAAAATGGAGAGACTTAGTGCTTACGGATCCCACAGAGAATGTAAACAAGCCGGGTGGGGCGCAGTGACCGTATTAAAGTCAGGTGGGGGGAGCCGTATAGCAAGTTTTGGTCATAATTTGAAATGACCGTATTAGCGGAACGCTGTAAAGCGAAATGCCATAAAGCGGGGCCCTACTGTAGTAGTATGTCATTGATGTCAGCTAGGCCTGTAAATAAAGATATACGTATTATTATTATTTACGATAAAGTTCAAAATTTTCTCCTACTGTACCTTCTTTAGCCATGGTAAGATGCATGATGAATGAAAGCTGTGTTTACAAGGCAGTTCTTTCATTTCCTCTCCTTCAGTCCATTCCTTGAGGCACACAGGGCATTGACCACCTAATGACAAGGGCAATAATTTATCTTTGCATGCAACTATGTACGTATACTGATAATGTACAGGACATGTCAAACTAACAGCTTTCATTAGTAATACATCTACATAATCACTTTCCACTATCTTATTTATTATAAAATACAAAATCTTTGTGATATGGCACAGAACCTGGTTTTTTACTCTGTACTGTGATGTGTATTTACTATACAGTACTTCCATTATTTATTTACACACACAACACACAAAAAAAACCTGTACATACATAATGTAGATAATAAAAAATGCACTTATTTCCACACAGCCTAACTGCCAGATTACAATACAGGTACAATACTTGCCTTTGGTTGCAGTTACAGTATTCAGTTTTTCAATAAATTCTTTTGAGGTTGGAGGTGGGGGCCTCTCATCATATCCAAAGAGTTGTGTAAATTCCAGCTGCAAATCCTAAAATTTAAAAACATTTTGAGAATTAGACTAATGTAAGTAGTACACAGTACCATTAGCATTTAGCATATTCCCACCTTGTGATGGACATCGCTTTTACATCCATTCTTCTTAGGCATGATCCAAATACAGAAACAATCAAAAGACAATACACAAATAACCTGCACATAGGAGAGTGAAACTTAAGATGACCGTTAACCCTTTGACTGTCGAGACCCCTGCTCACAAACTTGCTCTCAGTGTCGAAGAATTTAAAAAAAAATTATTATTATTTCTCATGAAATGATAAAGAATCTTTTCCCAATGGTAATGACACCAAAAGTACAAAATTTGATTGAAAACTTACGGAATTACACTTTTGCAAAGTTAGAGATCTTTGCGATATTTACGCATCAGCGATTTTGCCCACTTTGAGCCCTATTTTTGGCTAATTCCAGTGTTCCAGTCAACCAAACTCATAGCTATTTATTTAGGGCTCCATTTGTTCTATCGAACGAATACAAGAAACTGCCCATTTACTGATTTCAACTACCCAACAAAGTGGTCAGAAATTGGCAATTTGGCTAATTTCATGCAAATTAAAAAAGATGCCAGTTTCAAAATAGGGTCCAGAATGAACAATGCAGACATTCCTGGCACTAATATAACATTTTCTCTCTTCTTCAGTCAAGTCTTCAGGCCCCTCTTATATTACTCTTGTTTTCTATTTTGAATTTTTATTCACACAAAAAATAGAAGATTTGGTGTTATGCAGACTATTGCATTATTGTAATAATTGTATAAATAATGTCAACCCATTTGTGACTGCATATTAGAATGGCTAGTTGGACACTTATTGGACAATGATGTCATTTGTTTATGTTGAACATCGGCAAAAATCGAACATTTCTGCTACTTTGAGCTTAATTGCAAGGTCCTTTTCATCGTGACGCCAATCAAAATCATCTCTATTTCTGTAATATGTCTTCCATTCTATCAAATGAGACCAAGAAAATGAGAATACAACCATAAATACTATACGAAAATACACCTCAAAGTTGGCATTTTAATCCAAAAACACGGTCGGAGTTTTTTTCTCATTATGCACTGCGTGCTGCAGGATTTTTTATTATACTGCACACACTGACCACACAGACCCATTCTCTGACATGTGTGCCTACCAGCTTTCTCCCGCTTGATTTGAAGCCGCTAGAATTTTGGAGTATAAATACGTTTACCTGGAGAGGGTTTTAGGGGTCAACGCCCCCATGGCTCGGTCCGAGACCAGGCCTCATGGTGGATCAGGGTCTGATCAACCAGGCTGTTACTGCTGGCCGCATGCAAGTTGACGTACAAACCACAGCCCGGTTAGTCAGGTACTGACTTTAGGTGCCTGTCCAGTGCCTTCTTAAAGACAGTCAGAGGTCTATTGGTAATCCCCCCTATGTATGCTGGGAGGCAGTTGAACAGTCTTGGGCCCCAGACACTTATTGTGTTGTCTCTCAATGTACTCGTGGCGCCCCTGCTTTTCATCGGGGAAATGTTGCATCTCCTGCCTAGTCTTTTGCTGTCATAGGAAGTGATTTTCATGTGCAGGTTTGGTACCAATCCCTCCAGGACCTTCCAAGTGTATATTATCATGTACATATCTCTCTCGCCTTCATTCCAGGGAATACAGATCAAGGGCCTTCAACCGTTCCCAGTAATTTAGGTGCCTTATCGCACTTGTGTGTGCCATGAAAGTTCTTTGTATACTCTCCAGGTCTGCAGTGTCATCAGCCTTGAAGGGGGCCATTAGTTTCAAAAACACTGGCTCATAAGGCGTATATATATACACCAGAAACAGTCAAAGGGTTAACTAGTCACACACTAATGTGACTAGTTAATGATCCAAGTCAGACCAAATTGTCTTCATAAGTTTCATTTCTCCTATGTGAGGGTTATTTGTGTTATGATTCAAACACAATAGTAAATGGTGTAAACAAACCCACAAGTAGAAAATAAAACAGAAAGTAAGAGAAGTACAATACTACGTATCTTATCCACACACTGAGTCCTTTTTCAGCAGGCTGAAGAAGGCCTAGGTGAAGCTGAAATATACAGCACTCATCGTACTTCTCAAGTGAGTCTGACCTGCCAGTATCCCCCATGTAGCAGTAGCCGAGCAAAGTGTAAGAAGTGGTCCGGCGTTTGCCCTGATCCCAGAGGAATGCAGTTGTGTTCATCAAAGTATGATGCCATACTCCTGCAAATATTATATGGTGAAGTCACCAATTATAAGCCTGCCAATAATAATAATAATAATAATAATAATAATAATAATAATAATAATAATAATAATCTTTATTTCTACAAGTACATGTACAAGGTATACAGGTCTAGCTGACATCATTGGCATACTATTATATAGAAAGCCCCTTGTTATGCAGAGCATTTTGGGCAAACATGGTCAATTTTGTCCCCAGGATTCGACCCACACCAGTTGACTAACACCCAGGTACCTATTTTACTGATAGGTGAACATGGCCAGCAGGTGTCTTAAGGAAATACAACCTAATGTTTCCACCTGTACCTGGGATTGACCCCCAGACCTCAGTGTGTGTGAGTTGAGTGTGCTAGCAACTGAGTACTTAGTGTCATTTCTAAAATAATAAGAGGCAGTACAGTTAATGCTAAATTCCAGAAGTATATTTCCTATATAAAAATACCGTATGTGTGGAAGTCTGGGTGAAGAATAAGCATGTAACATAGCCAGAGTTTAGTGACACCATCAGTTATTTATCTGTAGTAAATAGAATGAGGCCACTGACTGGCCAGGCACCTCAATCATCGCCAGGCACCCTGTCAAACTACTGTAGACCTACACCGTAGTACAGTATTCTCTACACTTAAGAGAGGTTTCAAGGAATCTTCCTTTATTGACGTTTACTTAATATGTCTTACTGACCACATCAAAAGCCCAATATTGGGAAGAAATTTCACAGGGCTTGCAACCTTAAACCTCAAGCTATTGAATAAGCAAAAATGTATGAAGACTTAAACCATGGTCCTGGCATGCAGAAGGCACATGGCTTTACCACTGTGCCACAAAGCATACAAAAATTTTATAGACAGCAGTTCTGTGATTTGTCTGTATCAGCAGCACAGACAAGTCACAGAAGTGCTGTCTGTAAAATTTCCCGATTGTAAGTTTTGTGGTTCAGTGGTATAGTGATGGTCCTGCTGTATGCCAGGAACACAGTTCGAATCTGTCCATTCTTCTGTTTATTCAATGACAATAGTTTATTATGGCTTGAGTTTAAGCTACTGGTATAGGATCTGTAGACTGATTAATGTTCAACTTAGGCAGGCACAGTGCTTGCTCATTAATGCCCCACAATACTCTATATTAGGCTCTTATATAATGCAATGTCGATTACTCCTGCCTCCTGCTCATCACAGTGCTGTCCTCTGCTAATATAAAAAATATGAATAAAAAAAATACAAGAAATCCAAAATAAGATAAGGTTTATGTTGGACATGAATGCAAGGGAACAAGTTAGGTCAGAAAATACTATAAAATTGAGAGCTGCTAAATATGGAAAATACAGTAAAAAAAAAAAAATTAGGTTATGTTGGGTTACCTTAGGCTATATTAGGTTTTGTCAGGTTTTTCCATAGCAGAACCCAATTAAGCTTAGTAATTTTAAGCTACAGTATATAATTTATCACTAAAATACACTTAGGAGCAACTTTCCCAAATAATAATAATAATAATAATAAATAATAATAATAATAATAATAATAATAATAATAATAATAATAATAAATAATAATAATAATAATAATAATAATAATAACTGGTAAACCCATAAGGATCATGCAGTTGAGGAAAGTTTAATAAAAAGAAGGGATTCGCTGCCTGACCACGGGGGAGTGAGGTTGTCTCGGCACCCCTCTGCTGTCTCTCAGGCGAGCTACCTTAGTTCAGCAACAACCATTGAGTAGTGAGGACGTGCGCTGCTCATTGGGATATCAACATGGCGGAACATACAGTACGGAGAGTGAATACTATCTGCATAGAGCTGGTTCGTGGTACGTTAAGTGGAGATACGATGAACGTCCTTCTCCCTAACATCATCAGGGATACATATGGTATTCCAACGAGGATTTGTATGGCGTCGCCCTTAATGGTTTAACAAGAATCTTTGTGAAATTTCTACGAGTCGATTACTACACAAGAATTGTCGAGCATTACAGGACAACGTATGAGCGTGAATTCAACGATGGATGTTGTGTTACATGACGTCTCTAAGTACTTCACATGGGTGAAGGTACGAATGTACCCTTCGAGGCTACGGCTTATGGCCTGCAGGAGTTTTTTCGAAGTTATGGGACAGTACATTCTGCAACAATGGGGGTGTGGAGGGATGGTCCATATGAAGGATTGCCGGAAGGTTCTTACACCCTTAAAAATGACCTTAACAAGGCCTATACCATCCTATGTTACGATGATCGGTTGTATAAACACAGGTTTTATGTGTACTATGCTGGCAAAGGAAAACATGTCGTCTATGTAGCTCTTATGAGCACATGGCAGCCCAGTGTCCTAGGAGGCGGGCTTCTCGAATTCTCGACACTCCAGTTGTGATTCAGCAGTCGTGTAATTTTGGTGCCTGGCTCTGATGCCTCGGGAGGCCGGAAGGAATGACCTCTGGAGCGAAGGGGTCGACCGGGAGGTGGAGGCGGCGGAGAATGTGTCACTCTCCCAGGGGCGTCGGGGGAGTTGAAGGTGACATCTGAGGAGACTTTCGTCCAGGAAGCTTCAACCCAGGATGGGTTATTGGCAGATGTGATCAAGGATTTTTTGATGAGGAGGAACCCTGTGAAAAAGGGTGTCCTCAGTTCATGTGAAGCTGGAACTTTGGAGGGACAACAAATTGTTGAGGAAGACTTGAGTAAGATTGGGCGGGAGCATGTGGTGGCCGTGGGGGTACATCAGGAGGAATTGTCTGAGGTGATATGTGTGTAAGTGTGAGTTCTAGGAAACGAACTGCGGCATCAGAGATAGATGAGGTCATTACCCAGGGCAGAGCCGGGAAGAATCATGGGCAGCGGTTGTGGAGCGAGAACATAGTGGTAGAGGTGGTGCTGAGTTGCAAATTGGGAAAGGGAGGGGGGAAGTGACTGCACAGGAAAAACTCGAGTGGCAAAGGAACACGTAATATGAAAGTGCAGTGGGTAAATCCCAGAGGCATAGGGGAAAGCCGCCCTTCTGTAATTTTCAAAATGTGTCACGCTTAATGTTAATGGACTTAGACTGAGGTCAAGAAAGTTTGGTTGGATTTGGTTTTAAGGCGGTTTGATGTTGACATATGCTTTTTGCAAGAGCATAATCACAGGTGCTGGTAGTGTGTTGAGGGTGAAAGGATATCGGATGTATGTAACCAGTGGTTTGCAATTGAAGGTGGGGTAGCAGTTGCGGTAAAGGAGACCAGCCCCTTGCGTGCCCATTGGTTGGGAAGAGGGGGGGTGGGAGGATCGTGAGGGTGGATGGCGTCTGGGGTGAGAGTCGAGTTAGTTTCGTGGGAGTTTACATCCCAAAGCAACTAGTAATTCAGGGTAAAAGTAGATTTTGTCAGAGAGGTATTGCTGTATCACTTGAGAGGTTTTGCCTGCTATAACAGTAATAGGAGGTGATTGGAATTGTGTGATTAGGAGTGGTGATGTCGAACCGAGAGGGGCGGGTTGTGTGCTGAGTGTGCTGAGGGATGTATTGCGAGATATTGGGGTTGTTGATGTGGTGGGGAGGGGGGGTTACCTAGTGGAGCATACGTTCGTCCGTAGGGGATATGAAGCGCGATTAGACAGAATTTATATTAAGCAGGGTATAGATGTTGTGAGGGTGCAAACCTTCGATGTGGGGTTTTCTGATCACAGAGCGGTAATAGCAGATTTGATGTGGGATGGAGTGGTGCGTATTTATTCTGGGTACTGGAAATTAAATGTAAGGCTTCTTAAGGAGGAGGGGGAGGGGCCTTTTTTCAGTGATTGGTGGTTGCCTTTTTGGGAGGCTAGGAACAGGGAGATAGATCTGTTAGATTGGTGGGAAATGCAGGCAAAACCTGGAATAGCGAATTTTTTTTAAGGCTAGGGGACGAGAGGAGGCGAGGTGGCGTTTTGGGTTGCAAAATTATCTGGAGGGACAGTTGCAAGATTGTTATGTTGGGGGGTGGTAGGAGGGATGATATGGACAGACTGCGGAGTAGAATAGCTGAATTACACAATGATAGGTTTGATGCAATTAGGGTTAGGGCGGGGTTAGAGGATGTTTTGTGGGGTGATAAGCCGTCTGGGTATGTTTTACGTAAATTTCGGGACCGACAGAGTGTAACCACCATTCTACAATTGGAGACAAGCCCTGGGGTGGGAGGGTATCCAGTGGGTCGAGTCCTATCCAATACGGAAAGTATGAGTCTCTATGCTGATAGTTGGTTTAGAGAGAAATTTGGGGTTGGAGGGAGGGGGGTTCCTGGGAAAGGGGATTTTTGAAGGGGGGTTCCATAGCGTTTTAATGTGAGCAGGAGAGAGAGTGGGGTTGGAGGTTGGTATAAGTGAGGTTGAGGTGGAAGAGGCAGTTTTCGGGATGAGTACCGGGAAAACACCAGGGATAGACGGTATACCAAATGATTTTTATAGAGCACATTGGGGGTGTATTAGGCAGTGTTTTGTTAGGCTATTGGACCATATGTTAACTAGTGGGAAGTTGGGCATATCGCAAAGTACGGGTGTCATAGTTTTGGTGCCAAAGAAGGGGGGGGGTAGAGAGTTGAGTGCTTACCGTGCAATATCTTTGATGTGCGCTGATTACAAGGTTTTTGCGAAATTTTGGGTAATAGACTGAAGAAGGTCATGGGGTCGGTGATACATGGGGGACAGTTTGGTATCCCGGGGAGGAGTATGCGGGTAGGTCATGGTCGTATTCGGGATTTCCTTGAGGGTAGTAATAAGGGAGGTATTCTAGGTCTGGATTGGGAGAAAGCTTATGATTATGTGGATAGGGAATTTTTGATTGAGAGTATGGTGAGAATGGGTTTTGGAGGGAGGGTGGTTGGATGGGTGAGGACTTTGTATGAGAATGCATCAATGAGAGTACAGGTAAATGGGAGATTGGGTAGTTCAGTAAGCATGGGAAGGGGTTTAAGGCAGGGGTGTCCACTCTCCCAAATACTCTTTGCATGTATGCAGAATCCTTTCTATGTTCTGGTTGATGGTGGGAATGGGAAGGTTGGGGGGAGAGTGGAGGATATTGTGGGAATATTGTTGGTTATGTAGATGATACAACTGTTTTACTTAATGGGATTGAAGATTTAAGAAAAGTGGGAAGGGTAATTGAGATTTTTGGGAATGCTACTGGGATGAGGGTTAATAAGCAGAAATCACGGTTGTTGGAGGTAGGCGCTTGGGTAGGAGGGACCTTGGGGAGGAGTTTGGTTGGATAACTGTAGATAGGCTAAAGATTTGTGGGATTTTGTTTTTGGCAGATGCACAGGAGAGCAGGAGGGTTAATTCAGAAATGGTAATGGACAGAGCTTTGAGTAGGCTGAGGGGTTCTAAGGGCCGGGGATGTAACCTTGCATCAAAGGGTTGTGGTGGTAAATACGCTGATTTATAGTAAGGTTGTGGGGAGTGGCGGAAATTTACCCATTAAGAAGTCAGGATATTATGGAAATGCAAAGAAGGGTCTTAAGGTATGTGTGGGGCTATGGGAGGGCGTGGTTGGGCAAAGATGTAGTAATGACTGCGGTAAGGCAGGGAGGACTGGGATTGATTGCATTAGGGTCTAGAGTGAAGGCGCTATATGTGAAGCAGAGGTATATTCGGGCAGCGGGGGAAAGGGGTCTTCGGGTGGGGGAGGTGATGGGGGATATCCGCAAATGGTGGGGTGGCAGGGACTTAGTGGAGTGTGAAGACATGTTGCGGTTTATGTTAAAGGTATGCAATGTTAAAAAACTCAAGGTAAAACGGTTAGTGGGTGTGGGTCGTCGTCAGGAATTAATGCAAGGGATGGCAGTGTATCCCACATATGATTGGAGAGGGATATGGGTGGAATTTAGTAAATTAAGAATACCGGCAAGAGCGAGGGAATTAGTAAAATAGATTTCTTATGGGGACGTTAGCAAACAAAAGAGGAGCTAAGACGAATGGGTTTTGTGAAAGAGGCGTCATGCGCTTTTTGTGGGGAAGTTGAAACGGCTTTTCATGTAGTATATTTTTGTTCTGCATTGGAGGTGGTAAGATTGTGGTTGAAGAGGGTTTTCTTTTTATTGGGGGGGGAAAGATATCACCCCTTAGGGCTTTAATGTTAGATATGGAAGGGGTACCCAAAGAGGTGGGAAGGGCTATCAGATATGTAATAGTTGATTACTTGTATGTTTCTTGGGGGATGAGGGAGGTGGAGGGGAACATTAGGATAAAAGCGTTGGCGGCGAGTTTTTATAGGACAGCATGTAGGAACAAACAATTATATGGGGGAAGGTGGGTAATTAGTTTTCCGGAGGGATATCGTGGACTTACTGTTGAACGTTTACTCCGTTTGAGTATGGGGTGAGAGGCAAGGGGTTGGTCTCTTCAGTGGTGTGCCCTCTTGGTGTGATTGGAAGCCTGATGAGGTATGGTTGATTAGTTTGCACGGTGGTTGATGTGGGTAAAGTTTATTGTAGGAGTATGTAGACCTTATGAATTTTTTGTAAAATCACAGAGTCAAAAGTTGTATGTGATTTTCGGTTTTCCCTTATTGTTATAAGAATCTTTTTATATAGGAAGGTTTATATTTATATGTATAATGTGAGGTTATGTCTTATATATCTTTAATCTGAAGATAGATTTAGCCTTGTCATACACCTCTTTTTTTTATTATTGTATTGAATATGTACATTATGCACTATGTACGAAAATATATAAGTATTTGATGGGGTTTATATATCCCCTTATTTTGTATGGAAGGTCCTATTATATATTGAGTGTTAATCAGTAACATTAACTTTGTGTATGTAGGTGTGTTTGGGGGAACCCAAAGTCTTTGTATAGTTCTATCATAGATTGTAATTTAGTTTATTTGCAGACAAGTCATTTTAGCGATTTATTTCTATGTATGATTTAGTTTGTTCTTATGAATAAGTGCACATACACGTATGTGTATATGCATGCGTATATGTATACATATATGATTGCAGGACTCGTTCCTACATGTCTTATAATGACCCTGTTATTTTAGTAGATATTGTTTTCAATGACCATTCATTAGGAAATTAATGTATGTTATTTAGAATGGGGACTGTACATACGGGGGGGGGGGGGGGGTAGAAGTGTCAGCTTTTGTCGGCACTGACAATAATGAGTGGGGGGGGGTAGAAGTGTCAGCTGTGTCGGCACTGGCAATAATGAGTATTGTAAAGGAGTTTGAAGATTATGTGGATTAATAATATATAAATAACAAAGTGGAAAAAATAATGCAGATTGTAGGTTTGGGTTTTCCTTGGTTATAATAATAATGATGTAATCTTACTTAACATAGTTACATTGGATGTAATGTATATGGGATGAGGGACAGGTGTGACAACACAACGTTAATCGTCTGTGTTCATTTAGACAATGAGATTTATAATTTTGAGTAAGAACTGATACTGTGTTCTTTTATTTATTTAATGTATTGTGTTGTTTTAAATAAAAATATAAAAAAAAAAAAAAAAAAAAAAAAAAATAAAAAGTTTAATAAAACACTGAGGAGCAACATTCAAAAAATAATAATAATAATAATAATAATAATAATAATAATAATAATAATTATAATAATAATAATAATAACTGGTAAACCCATAAGGGTCATGCAGTTGAGAAACTTAATAAAAAGTTTAATAAAACACTGAGGAGCAACATTCTTATTATTAATAATATAATAATAATAATAATAATAATAATAAATAAATAAATAATAATAATAATAACTGGTAAACTTATAAGGGTCATGCAGTTGAGTAAGTTTAATAAAACCAGAAGAAAACACCAGGCCCGACATGTTCTGCCCACTACATATTGGCTTTCAAATTATTGTGCATATTTGTATATTAATCTAAAATAAAGCTATCATCATTCAAACTCCCTCGATGAACTAAACACGTGTGCAACATCTGCTATCTAGTTCATAAACTTGCAGGTGTTGCACACAAATAACCAGTCAGTACTGTGTACAACTGATGTAATGAAACTTCATTACAACACCTGCTACTTCCTAGGTGTACTTACAGTGTACTTAAAGAGGTTTGTACTCCTCCCGGTGGTTGTGCCAGATGTAATATTCTTCTCCAAGGTTCCTTCTGATAGTAATTTAGATGTGTCACTGCTGTTGTTAGGGTTGTAAAGGGCCACCAAAGATCACACTGTTTTAAGCTTTTTATGATGTCCATGGAGAATAAAAATATTAATAATAATGGTAGAATAAGTAAGTTTATTTGGGTACAGATGCACATAAATACAGTTACACAAAATTATCATACAAAGTAACGTGTAAATTGACTAAGATAACCCCCCCAAAAAGCCATAGTGACTCATTTCCATTGGGGGCCTTGTAGTATCTTATTACATACTTCAAAAAAGAACTTAGTTGATTGTGTCCCTTTTTACCTAACAATAAAAACATTGTCTAAAAATGGGAAAAGAGGGGAA